TATTTTAGATTTTTTATATTTAAAATGAGATGTTTATCCTGTATTTGATTGTGTTTATTTGCAGTTAGTTACACGAATTTAGATATGAGATGAAATCGGATAGGGATGAACAAGTTTAAGAGTTTTTAAGAGTTTTAAGAGTTTTTAAGAGTTTTAGTCAAATGCTTTATAATATAGTATAGATTAGAGGTTGTTTGACAGTTGCTGAATGGTTTGATGTATAATGATTAAAAGTCTTTCATGATATAGTGCGAATGAAATATAATTATTTGGTAATTGTTTACAATGAAATCAGGGCACTTAATGGTTAAGGGAGGCTTAGGATACAAAATCATTAAGAGGGTTTTAGAACCCTTAAGATACAGATTTTTTTTTTGGCAAACAAGAATCACCTCTTAATAAGTCAGATGTTGCCTCTTAATAAAACTATTAAGAGGTAAATAAACAACCTCTTAGGGGTTGTTTACTAAATTTTCTATTAAGTCTTGTATGGATAAATTTATCTGTCTAGATAAATTTGTCTGTCTGGATAAATTTATGTTGTTGTTTACCTTTTTATCTGAATCAACAGTCTGAATAACATAAATGACCAATTTACCCCTGAGGATGAGCCATTGGCTCTGGACACGAACTCATTATCCCAAATTATTTTGCAATCAAAATAAGTACAGATATCTACTGTATGAATCATCCAAATAAAATACAAGGAAGGCGTTGGAATCATCGTTAATGAAAACAAATGGTTTATCGGAGTTCATATTCCTGAATCATCAAACAATCGAACGACAAGTCTATCGAAATAGAAACTGAAACCTGTGGTGTTCGAATCCATAGATCCTTAGTACAAACCCTATCCTTTCGATTAATCGTTCAAGTGAAACATAAATCGAAACCTGTGGTGTTCGAAACAGAAGAGAGCCTCGACTGTCATGGAGAAAAAGAGAGTAATCGGGCCGATTAGGGTTATTTGGAGGAGAAGAGGGCGTCGACTGTCGATGGAGAAGAGAGCGTCGATCGATGGAGAAGAGAGCGTCGATCGATGGAGAAGAGAGCATTGTCCGATTCTCGTCCGATTAGGGGTCTTTGGATGGAGAAGAGAGCATCGATCGGTCGATCAATGGAGAAAGAGCATCATCCGATTAGGGTGTTTTGAGGCGTGGGTCTCATATGTAAGGGTAGGGAGAGTCTTTTTCTTGGCTTAATCTGGACGATACGTGTTTTTCATCTGGGCGAATAAGCCCATTTCTGAGCGAATAAGCCCAAGGTAAACAACCTTGTTTGTCTGTGCGAATAAGCCGGTTTACTCACTAAGCTCATTAAGTCACAAGTAAACAGGCCCTTAGTCGATAAGAATACAATGGTTAAAAATAATATTTTAAAATATAATTAAAATAACTCTCTAATAAATATAATATAAGATGATAAAAAATAAAAAGTATAATATATTGATTAAAAGAATTTCAAATAATTATTATATATATTAT